ATCCGAATTTTTCGTCGCTTATTTAGTTTTGTAGCTACTTCAGTTAGGCCTATGACACTATGTACCTCTTCACGATTTTAACTTTTGGTCACCTGAATCCCATAATTTTTTCTGCTTTAAATCGATTTTTATATTCGTAATTTGAATATATCACAGTAGACTATTCAGAGAAAATATTCGAATGTCGATAAAAGGTTAACTTCAATAGTAAACTGAAAGACGGCGAAGAGTAACTTCCGAGACGATTCGTAAGAAAACAAAACTACATCAGACCATTTCTGAGACGTTTCGTTCAAACCTGATATAATTTTTTTTTTTTTTACAGTTCTTTAAATGGAATATTCGTCTTTCTCTGCATGTTTCGTACCATTTCTATAAAGTAGTGCTGAAGTTTCTGTGTTTAAAGTTTGGTTGTTTGTTTCGTTGGTTAACTAATAGTTAGTTAGTTAGTTAGTTAGTTAGTTACATATTCTAAACTATTCTATTCTTATATATTCAGTATGTCGTTCATGCCAACTTTAAAGTTGATATTTTATTATTCAAATTATTTTTAGGGTAATTGACTGCCAAAGAAAAGCTAGCCAACAATACCAAAGCAAACACTTTTCATACCCACCTATACAATTATTACAGTTGGTCAGTGCTATGCTATGCTATGCTATTCTATTCTATGCTATGCTATGCTATATAGTAGTAAGTTATATTATCATCTGCTAGAACAGTAGAATAACTCAGTCAGTAGTAAGTTAGAGTGTCGTCTACTAGAACAGTGGTATAACTCAGTCAGTAGTAAGTTAGAGTGTCTGCTAGAACAGTAGAATAACTCAGTCAAAAGCAAGTTAGAGTGTTGTCTGCTAGGATAGTAGAATAACTCAGTCAGTAGTAAGTTAGAGTGTCTGCTAGAACAGTGGAATAACTCAGTCAGTAGTAAGTTAGAGTGTCTGCTAGGACAGTGGAATAACTCAGTCAGTAGTAAGTTAGAGTGTCTGCTAGGACAGTGGAATAACTCAGTCAGTAGTAAGTTAGAGTGTCTGCTAGGACAGTGGAATAACTCAGTCAGTAGTAAGTTAGAGTGTCTGCTAGGACAGTGGAATAACTCAGTCAGTAGTAAGTTAGAGTGTCTGCTACAACAGTGGAATAACTCAGTCAATAGCAAGTTAGAGTGTCTGCTACGACAGTGGAATAACTCAGACAGTAGTACGTTAGAGTGTCGTCTGCTACTACAGCAGAATAACTCAGTCAGCAGCAAGTTAGATTGTCGTCTGCTACGACAGTAGAATAACTCAGTCAGTAGCGAGTTAGATTGTCTGCTACAACAGTGGAATAACTCAGTCAGTAGTAAGTTAGAGTGTCT